GTTTTAAATATTAGTATCTTTTATTTTATTTTAAAATTTGATATTTAATTTATAAAAATATATATTTATAGCGATAAATTTGAAACGGTATGTGAAAAATTTCGATATCCGGTACGTACCATTTTAATAACAAAATCGATACGTATACCGGTACGATATTGACTATTTTGGTTTTTAGTGTACAAGTTAAGATTACATTAATTATTTTTTTTATATTAATTTATTAATTATCTAATTATATTCATCTAATATTAAACTTAACATAAATTTTTATTTTTTTTGATACTCTTATTATGTGCACAGAAGACGTAGGTTAGAAAAATCCATTAAGATTTTTTTGTGTTTAATCCTTAAAAAAAAAAAAAAAAGGAAAGTAAAAAACTTTGAGGGTGGCAGCTACTAGCTGGGTGAGGTTTTTACTTGGAATAAAATGGTTAAATGCTCATTGTGATCCCTTAACTTTATTGATTTGCACATTTTTGGTCCCTAAAGTATTTTATGTACATTTTTTATTCATCAACTCCAAAAAATACACAACGTTTATCCTTCTGTCACTTAGGGCCGTTAATTTTGCCTATGTGGTATTTTTTATATTTTTTTATGACATGGAGAAAACAACTTAAAAAGGTGATGATTTAGACATTTTTTTTTTTTGACCAGATAGATTGTTAGGAAGTTAGTGGAGTTAGTTTGTTAGCAGCTGGAATTTTTCCAGGATAGTGAACGTTCCACCCTCCTCATATGAGGCGCGCGATCATTAGGTTGCAAGTTTGTGGAGTTCACGGCGGTGGCAGGGCTCGAAGCCCTGACCTCCGCCTCACCCAAGCCCCAACCATTGGGCCTCAGGCCCGGTTGGTGATTTAGACATTTTTTTGATGACATATTCAACGCCAACTCATGTACCAAATTAGATTAGTATTTATATTTTTAATAAAAAATTACAAATTACAAATTTACCGTAATACCCTTATCTCCCCTACTTGATCCAACTTCTTCCCCTCTTTCGATCCATCTTTTTCCTGTCTTCTTTTTCTTTCTTCCTCTTCTTTCCTCCTTTTCCTCCTCTGTGTTGCTAGGTTCCCTCAAACCCAGTTGATCTGGGTTCAAGGGAACCCAACTCGGGTTCGATGGAACCCATCTGCTAGGTTCCGTCAAACCCAAAACTCATATTTGTTGGGTTTGAGGAACTCAGCTCCACTTTTTCTTTTTTATACATATATATATATATATATATTGGGGTTAGTGCTTGTCCGCCTTACCTCTCAAAAATTAGGAGGAAAAAGGACAAATATCACCTTAGTGCATCCTTTAAAAATATGGTAGTTTAGTCTTTTTCAATAAAAAGTTATTGAAACGACGTAGTTTTAGGATGATTTTCCTCCTAATCTTTAGGAGGTAAGGCTGACAGGAACTTTTTCCATATATATTTGTTGCCAAGAGTTTATGCAAATTGTAGGTTGTAAGAGATTTTCGGGATCCTTTTGCTGAGTTTATGCAAATTGTAGGTTGTGAGGGATTTTTGAAATCCTTTTACTTCATATTTCTTAACTATTGTTTAAATAATTTTAATGTTCAAAATGAAAAAAACACATTGCCAGTGATAGAAAGAACAAAAGCAGTGATTGATGGGCAAAAAAGTAATTTTTAGTAGGTTTCCATTTGTTTGGCTAGAAAATTGTACAGTTTGGGTGTTTGGCTGTTGCAATTTGTTTTGTTAAGAAAATTTGATGAGAAAATTGTGATTTAATTATAAAATAATTTAGAATCTCAATTTTGATTAATATAAGTAATTATAGTTTAATGATGATTAATTAGTGAAATCTAACTTGATATTATTTTTTATCCATATAAGCATCTAGATTTAATTTTAATTTGTTATATCATTAAAAAAATATAAAAAATGTCATGTAAATTTATCACGTCATTAAAAAAAATAAAAAATATCACATGGACAGAGTTAACGGCCCTAAGTGATAGAAAAATAAACGTTGTGTATTTTTTAAAGTTGAGGCATAAAAAATATACATAAAATACTTTAAAAATAAAAAATATGAAAATCAATAAACTTAAGAGACCAAAATGAGCATTTAATCGAATAAAATCTGGAGAGTGGGATCCCAAGATTTCCTCCATCCAACGCCAAGGCTTGAGTTGTGTGTTGACGAAATTAGGTCACTACCCGTACTCAACTCTTTTTAAATTTTCTTACTACCACTGTCATTTGTTGACTTCATCTTCCAAAGTCAGATTTGTCGAACTTTTAAAGAATAACAGGTAAGAATATCCAGGTCACTTTCCTCAATGATTAACTATAAATAAATCAGTTTTG